AGAAAATCACATTCTAGGATTTTTTATGAATTTATTTGCAAATTATGGTGGAAAATAAGTATTTGGTCACCTACAAACAAGCAAGATTTCTGGCTCTCACAGACCTGTAACTTCTTCTTTAAGAGGCTCCTCTGTCCTCCACTCGTTACCTGTATTAATGGCACCTGTTTGAACTTGTTATCAGTATAAAAGACACCTGTCCACAACCTCAAACAGTCACACTCCAAACTCCACTATGGCCAAGACTAAAGAGCTGTCAAAGGACACCAGAAACAAAATTGTAGACCTGCACCAGGCTGGGAAGACTGAATCTGCAATAGGTAAGCAGCTTGGTTTGAAGAAATCAACTGTGGGAGCAATTATTAGGAAATGGAAGACATACAAGACCACTAATAATCTCCCTCGATCTGGGGCTCCATGCAAGATCTCACCCCGTGGGGTCAAAATGATCACAAGAACGGTGAGCAAAAATCCCAGAACCACACGGGGGGACCTAGTGAATGACCTGCAGAGAACTGGGACCAAAGTAACAAAGCCTACCATCAGTAACACACTACGCCGCCAGGGACTCAAATCCTGTAGTGCCAGACGTGTCCCCCTGCTTAAGCCAGTACATGTCCAGGCCCGTCTGAAGATTGCTAGAGTGCATTTGGATGATCCAAAAGAGGATTGGGAGAATGTCATATGGTCAGATGAAACCAAAATATAACTTTTTGGTGAAAACTCAACTCGTCGTGTTTGGAGGACAACGATTGCTGAGTTGCATCCAAAGAACACCATACCTACTGTGAAGCATGGGGGTGGAAACATCATGCTTTGGGGCTGTTTTTCTGCAAAGGGACCAGGACGACTGATCCGTGTAAAGGAAAGAATGAATGGGGCCATGTATCGTGAGATTTTGAGTGAAAACCTCCTTCCATCAGCAAGGGCATTGAAGATGAAACGTAGCTGGGTCTTTCAGCATGACAATGATCCCAAACACACCGCCCGGGCAACGAAGGAGTGGCTTCGTAAGAAGCATTTCAAGGTCCTGGAGTGGCCTAGCCAGTCTCCAGATCTCAACCCCATAGAAAATCTTTGGAGGGAGTTGAAAGTCCGTGTTGCCCAGCAACAGCCCCAAAACATCACTGCTCTAGAGGAGATCTGCATGGAGGAATGGGCCAAAATACCAGCAACAGTGTGTGAAAACCTTGTGAAGACTTACAGAAAACGTTTGAACTGCGTCATTGGCAACAAAGGGTATATAACAAAGTATTGAGAAACATTTGTTATTGACCAAATACTTTTTTTCCACCATAATTTGCAAAATCCTACAATGTGATTTTCTGTTTTTTTTTTTCTCATTGTGTCTGTCATAGGTGACGTGTACCTATGATGACAATTACAGGCCTCTCTCATCTTTTTAAGTGGGAGAACTTGCACAATTGGTGGCTGACTAAATACTTTTTTCCCCCACTGTATATATGTATTCATTTATAGTTTTATCATATTTGTACTGTGTACTTCAGCTTTTGTTCTCAAAAAATTGACTACACCTCAGCAATTTATAACTATTTTGACCAAAAAGGTGAGATTGTAATCTTTCTGTCAGTATAAGCATTACTACAGCAGGTATTGTTCATGGTCCTCTCATGATAAATAATTACTTTTTGGTATGTCTATTTAGGAGGAAATCTACATTTTGACATTCCATTTAACAGGTTAAAGCAGTGGTGGAAACCAATTAAGTATATCAGAGGAGGCTGGTGGGGGGATGTATAGGAGGCTAGGCTCATTGAAATGGCTGGAACGGAATGCTATGCGTTGAAAGTAAACAAAATTCCAATTCCACTTTCGATTCCAAATGTTCCCCATTAAATGCATTAATAATAATTGGAATTGAAATTTCAGTGTACTTCCTGTATTGACAGGAATTGAAATGGTATTGACCCCAACCCTGGAACCTTCTGTAACCCATTTCAGCTCAGTGCAGGAAGCAGAGAAACAGCCAACGACGACTACAATATATTTACTCTTTCAACACCTCTGATTGAATCCAAGTTCACACTCAGTAGTTCACCTCTCGTAGACACTTAGTCAGAAACGTGCTATTTTAATACGGCTCCATGGCAGTGCACTTGCCCGAGGACAATCCTATTTCATACTTCTATACGCATAAATCAAGCCAATACTTCTCTAATCTGAAGAGAACTGAAGCCAGGAGAGAGAATTAAACGGATAGCTACGACCATAGAGAGGCCAAGTCCAATATGTATCCCCATCAATTAGGGAGGGATGGAGCACTCGACTGTGTCCCCCAAATGGCACCCTATTCCCTACATAGTGCACTACTTTTGACCAGCGCCCTATAGGAAATAGGGTGCCATTTGGGACGCAATTGAAGTTCCATAGGACTCTGGTCAAAAGTAGTGCACTATCCATTGAGTGTACAAAACATTAAGAACACCTGCTCTTTCCATGACATAGACTGAACAGGTGAATCCAGGTGAAAGCTTTGATCCCTTATCGATATCCCTTGTTAATCAGTGTAGATGAAGGGGAGGAGACAGGTTAAAGAATAATTGCAACTCAATATTAGGAAGGTGTTCTTCATTGTTTGTGCACTCAGTGTATAGGGCATAGGGTGCTATTTGGGACACAAACCTTTTGTAGATTTCAAACTCCAGGGCATTGATGCACGCATTATGGCTTCACTGGAAAACACAAAGGCTCCCCTCAGGCTGTCCATACAGCCTTACCTTATACATCAAGAATATGGGCATGTTATCATCACATAATTCCAACAGATACTACAAACGTTAGTGTGGGATTGTCACGTAATGCTGAATAGTTGTTTGAGGTTATTTTAATGTGTTGGATAAAAACAGTAACACATCTGCCTCCATGACTACATACTATTAACTTCCAGAACTTTCCAGAACACTGTCATGTTCTTTAGGCACCAAACAGAACACGGAAAAGAGCCAGGAAGAAACACTGACACGAAAGTGGTACCACCAAGGGTCATTATCATTAGTGCACACCGTAGCAAACCATCGCAAAAACGTTATGCAACAGAAGGCGTTTTTTTCTATGAGTTTCTATTAGACAAATTCAGCAAGCCCCTTTCCGATTGGGCCCATTTGCTTCCATTTGGTTCCTAGTGAATACATCCCTTAACTTGTTCAATGATAAACTGTCCTTTCCGTTTCTGTTTTCTACATGAGGTAATGTGAACCAGGCATGAAGGAGAATGTCCTGGAAGAGTTAAAAATACGTAGCTAGCTAGCACCTGAACTTGTTAATGGCATCAAGGACAATGTCCTGGAAGAGTTAAACATACCTAGCTAGCTAGTGTAGTGTCGAGTCAATGTTGCTAATTATGCTGTAACAAAGGAGTCCGCTTATACTGAACTTTGATCATAAGTTTTATTCATATCACAAGATTTCAGCATAAGTTTACAGATGTCATGATCACCCGGAGAGCAGTGTTTCCCAAATTGCAATGGCCGCTCTGCCCTTCTTTGTTTAAACCCAGTACTTATAATTTTCCCAAAATATGGGTGGCTCCCTCTACTGTCCAATCCCCTGTCTACAACACACACTCCCTGTCCTCTATGGGGCGTCATCCTAAAACCAACTCCCTCTGAAACTAAATAAAAACATCCTCTCAGGTTCCACTTGAAAACATTAGCCAAGTCATAATCTTTAATACACTACACTAGCTAGCACCTGAACTTGTTAATGGTATCAAGGAGCATGTCCTGGACGAGTTAAAAATACCTAGCTAGCTAGCTAGCTAGCACCTGAACTTCTTAATGGCATCAAGGACAATGTCCTGGAAGAGTTAAAAATACCTAGCTAGCACCTGAACTTGTTAATGGCATCAAGGAGAATGTCCTGGACGAGTTAAAAATACCTAGCTAGCTAGCTAGCACCTGAACTTGTTAATGCTCATTTCTGTTTTCCTTTTCTTGTAAACACGACCCAGGACTGAGGTAACAGCCAGCCTCTCTCTCCAGTCTTCACCAATATAATCCAGTAGAGTAGCTTGGTCCTTGGATTACATTCAAGGAGATAATACAAGGCCTCTCTCCTCACCACCCCCTCCTCACCTCACCTCCCCTCTCTCCTCACCTCCCCTCCTCACCTCACCTCCCCTCTCCCACCTCCCTCTCACCTCACCTCCAGCACCCCCTCCTCCACCCTCCTCCTCCAACACACCCCCACATAGAGTACCGAACCCCTCACACCCCCCTCTCCATCCCCCCCCAGCACCTCCCCAGCCCGCCCCGCCCCCCACAGCCTCACCCTCCCCCCCCCCCCAAAGCACCCCCCCCCTCTCTTCCCCACCATGCACCTACCTGCACCCTCTCACACTCCTCACCTCCCCTCACCCTCTTCCCCCATCACCTCCCCTCCACCCCCCTCTCCACTCACCCCTCCCTCACCCTCCCTCACCCCCTCTTCCCCACATCAACCCTCCTCACCCTCCCCCTCACCCCTCTCCTCCCCACATCAACCTCCTCACCCTCTCCTCACCCCTACTCCTCCCCACATCACCCCTCCTCACCCCAGCACAATTACAGGGACACATGGGACATACAGTCACACACAGCAAGCTGCCCCTCAGCTGAGGAAAACATAATTGCTTTCCTCAACAGAGGAGCTTTAACATCCATGGACCCAGATGCCCTCTGTCTTCAAAGGGCAAGTCCCAGCAATCCCTTCAATTCACATCCCATATTGAGACTTAGAGGGCATTCTTCCTCATTCCGGCTTAAAGGGTCAACACAGGACAAAAGCTGTCAACAAAAGCTGTTTCTTTCACAAAAAAGTACATATTTTGTGTGTGAGGGAAATGTGTATTTTTATGGGGATTACTTTGGGATCTTTTAAGGTCTGTTATGGAATCTGTTGCAGGGTAATCTTACTGGAGGAGTGTGTGTATGTGTGTTATCCTGGGTGTGCGTACATGTGTGTGTGTGTTGCTGACGTCACTCTATCCTTCTTCCATTCAGTGATTGTTTCTGCCATTGGATTGTGCAACCTCTAAAAGGGTCCCCCATGCAGCTCACCAAGGAAGCGGCACGGCAGAACAGTTCCTATAAGTGTGTGATTGATGATGACGCAACAAGATCTCACCAACTCACTGCAAAAACAGACATCACGCTGGCGTCTATTGACCTGTTTGAGGTTAGTACAAGTTTATTGTTAATTTAAATGACAATTTAAAATATGAAATGTATCTTTGGCTTGTCAAGGGTCGCAAAAGGGGAGAGGAGGGGGGGAGTGGGAGAGGAGGGGAGGGGGAGGTTAAGGGAGTGGGAGGGTGAGGGGATAAAGTAGGATGGCACTGTTTCTAAACATTTACAGAACAGAAATGGTTGTACATAATACGTCATCTACAACCCTATCACCTCTGTTTGTACATAATTGGTCATCTACAGTTTAACCCCATCCCCTCAAGCCTCACTAAACATGAATACACAGGCCACACCCCCCCCATGACCCAGAACAAGGTCGGGCCACGTTGGTTATGTTATCTCTTTATTCTGCTGTTTTGCTTTACTCAGTATTTTCCAGGGTTCACTGCC